ACCCGCAGTTAGTGCCCAGCATTGCAAAATTTATCGGAGGAGGGTTTCTACTGGAGATACAGAACAAGAGTCAGACAACTGCTTCTCTGTCTTCTTGAAAGATTCTAGGTAAAAGCATCAATTAGGAATGGGTTCGGTAATGGTTTTTGACTTTAACTGCCCTAATGTCGCTATGTAATCTTTGCACAGTACAAATGGGACTTACTTAAACTGGGATAAGTTAACTAAGACTAGTTCTGAAGCGAAGCTACGGCATGGAGACATTATCTCGATAGCTTTTGTTCCTCAACACGGTAGACTTTTGATACCAAATTTTATTTAGATAATTGTAAAGCTATTCCAGAGTGTGCTGACCTTCATATGAAACTGCCATGTGTTGACTGATTTATATTTGTTTTTTTGTTCAAGTTTAGTGTTCTCAAACATTTTAAAGTTTATGTAAGTTCAGCTTAAAGAATTATGTTTCAAGTACACGCAGAGGTTGTGACTTGTGTAGATATATTCTGCAGATGGGATTCCTCTTTGGTTAGAGGTTCCCTGCATTTTGCTTATCAGTACAATGTTGCTTATTGCATTCAGAAATTTTTGGGCCATTTACATAACATGCAAGCACACTCGTCAAACTTGTGTATGTGACATTTTCTCTGGTCCATGTTCGCAGAACACGCATTTGCATTTGTATTTCGGGAAGTTCAAAAATCCTCACGTGTAACTGATTGCAGTTCCTTGAAGAGAAAACCAGGTAATTACTTCAGATGCTATGTGATGGATATACTGGATTTTTTGTTGTTCTCTTTGAGAAACTTGTTTACAGAGGATTAGGACCGAATTAAAGTGAAGATGAAATAGTGTATGGTTTCTTCGAGAAACTTGTGAAACGATGCATGGACCAAGGTCATTTTGTTACTGTTGTGTTATTTTGTGTGTAATTTTAAGGCTATCAACGTCCGTACCTAAACGAAATTGGTGATGCGGACCAATAAAGAGAATCTCATTCTACTAAATCATTGTTTAGGCTAGTTTTAAGTTTAGGCTGAGAACATCTATTCTTAATTTTAATTCTTGATAGTTTCTTTGAGATCTGGGTTGTGTAACTGCTAATCTTTATACAACAATTATTTGTATTTGGTCGTATGCTCGCCCCTTGCTTCATGTATTTACTTCATTTATATTACTCATGACTTATTTCATATAGAGGAATATGGTGCTGATACCAAGAGATTGAAAGGAATTGGTTTAGGAGCTTCTGATGGTCCAATCTCTCTTGATGATTTTCGGAGTCTTCAAAGATCAAATACGGTAGCAATATGGACTGTTAAGCGATTTTAGTTACTACAGTATTAACTCAGTTTTTATTTTCTCGTTCTTTTTGAATATATCTGTCAATGTTTTTGAGGAAGTATTCAATTTATATGTAGGAACTCAGGAAACACTTGGAAAATGAAGTTGCCACTGTTGAATCATTACGCGCTGAAAATCGTGCAGCCATTGAGAAGCATGAAAATGTATGCATATTATTCTTATGATTTGCGTAGATTATATCTTCGGAAATCACATCTGACTGAAACAAGTTGTTTATATCGCATCATTTTATCCTGTGACTCATTCTGCTTAGTACTGGTGCAACTGCTCTCGTTCGAACTGTAGTTCAACAACATTCACAGTTGATGAATATTTGTTAACATTATCCAAAATACTTCATTTGTTTTATCCCATTAGTCCCTTAGTTATTATGATATCCCACTGTGCACCTGAATTTTATTTATGAAAATGTTTTGGTTCCTGGAATTTGATATGAATTTCTTAAGTTTAGTTAAATGAATTAATATATTGGCTTGAAAAGCAATGTGATTTGAGATGTATTGTTTTTATGTCAATTTAGTCGGGCAATCATTAATCAATCGTAGCTAGATATGTTTGAAATAACAATGTTCAAGGTGAATCTTAAGTAATTAAAGATGAGGTTTTCATTTGCAGGAACTAAAGGAGTTGAGAGAATCCGTTGCAAAATCTTATCAAGATCAGCTCAGTCAGTTGAACCACCAGTTGGAAACGAAAGATAAGGAACTTGCGGAGCTAAATAAAATATCAGCGGAGCTAAGACATGGGATTGAAGACCTTAATGAACGACTCGGTGCATCTATACAATCATGCCTTGAAGCCAATGAAATAATTAATAGGTGAAAAGCATGCTACATAATGTTGGATAGAATCAATAGCATAAATGGAAATTATCACACAACATGAGATGCCTGTTTTGTGTTGAGCTGGTGGTTAATCTTTTCTTAAATCCATTTTTACTGGCTTCATGTAGATTATTTTTTAATGTATATCACGGTGTACGAAATTCATTTCTTTTTAGTTGGATTGACTCATGTGGAATTTTTTTGAGTCATGTTCCCTGCATACAATATTGTATATTGTGAAAACCGGGCAATTTTTTGGTTTTGGTTTGGTTTTGCTTTATTGTTTAGCTTCTAGGTCCAAATTTATATGTTCTCTATCTTCAAGAAGTTCGTCTTTATTTTGCAATGAAAGTCGATTGAGATTATGGTAAACGAGATACATGGAAACGTCATCGTTTTCATTTTGCTTGGTTCAGCCAGAAGGCCTCTTTATCAGAACTGAAAGGTCTATTAGAGGAAGAGCGTGATCAGAGGAGAGAAGAGAGAGAGAAAGCTTCTCTGGATATGAAAGTGGCATTACAGAAAGTTCAAGCTGAGGCTGCAGAGGAAATAAAACGAGTCTCAGATGGTGCTTTGAGACGGGAGAAGGAACAGCAAGAAATGATAAATAAGCTCCAGGTTAAATTTGAAAAGATAATACGAATTTTCTCGTGATTTTGTTTTTCATTTCACTTGTTTTTATACAGGAGGCGGACAAGGAAAGGTGCTCATTGGTGGAAACATTGAGATCCAAATTGGTATGTTACTTTTTATATTTCCCATGTATCATCCTGCCTTGGCACTAAAATGTTGCCCTTATCTACGGCAGGAAGATACAAGACAAAAATTGGTCAACTCTGATAACAAAGTGCGCCAGTTGGAAGGTCAAATGCGTGAGGAGCAGCAAGCTTTCACTACTACTCAAAAAGTATTGTGGTTTTCTCATGTACCAAGATATGCTACTATAATTACCACAGAATCGATGTTCTGATGATGATATAATAATCGGCCACACTTTTCCTTCTTATCTTATCGTTTTTTCTTCAAAAAATTAAAATAAAAAAATTTACCATTCCAGAGGGTTGAAGAACTGGAACATGAAATAAAAAGACTGAGGAAAGAACTTGAGCGTGAAAAGGTAAGATATGCATTACGAATATTTTATTCTCTGCTGCAATTGACCTAATGTAGTTTTCTGCTATATTCATGCTTTCACGTTTAGGAATTTATTTTAAAGCATATGAACAGAAAATGTAAATTTGGCCTACACAGGTAATAATGCATATGTAATCTGAGTTTCTCTTGCTGTTGTAGCAGGCAGCTCGGGAAGAAGCTTGGGCAAAGGTGTCTGCTCTTGAGCTTGAGATCAGTGCTGCTGTCCGGGATCTTGATTTTGAGAGACGCAGACTAAAAGCTGCCAGGGAGAGAATTATGCTCCGGTAAGAATGCATTTTACATTAAGATGAATTTCATTTGGCATTCTGAATTAAATTCTACATTTTACATTAAGATGAATTCATTTGGCATTCTGAATTAAATCCTACGAAACCAAGAAATCAACCCGTACGTGTGAAATTATAGAAGATCTCCTTTAAGATCAAACAATTGAGTATGATTGTATGTGTGATATCATCTACTATACCAGGAATATCAACGAACCCGATTATTGCAATTGCTCAGAATTTTATTTGGCACTCTGAATTAAATCCTAGCAGAGTAAATTACGCAAAAAAACTAGGTGCTAAGTGCTAACAAACAATCCCTCACTCGACACATATGTATAATTTCACAAAAAAAAAACCACGATTTTTTCATGTGGAAAACAAGTTGTCATGATTTTTGGTGTGGTATTTCGCAAGTCAAATTTTTTCGTCCTTGCCTAATTATATAAACGGTATTTACTGCAGGGAAACTCAGCTTCGGGCCTTCTACTCCACCACAGAGGAAATATCCGTCCTGTTTGCAAAACAGCAAGAGCAGCTCAAGTCAATGCAGAGGACACTCGAGGATGAAGAGAATTACGAGACCACATCTACCGACTTCGACCTCACCCGGGCCGCCGATGGCAACAGAAACCGCTCATCTGCCGGAGACGAGGAGGAGGCTCGCCAGAGCAACACCACCGCCAAGGGCCGGGACGAGTTGTCGAGTGACGAGGCAAGCGTGACCGAGAAGCATGAATGCAACAATGTCCGGAGCCAGGGCGAAAACGGGCCCAACACGCAGGAGGTAGAGTTTGTGGGCCACTTATGGGAGGATGGTAAGGGTGCGTTTGGCTCTGACATTAATGGTGTCGGCACACAACCCGAGCTCTCCCATGGGGATTTGATTGGAACCGAACAAATTCCAGGTGAGACCGAGCGGGTTCTGGAGACTGAGAGTCAAAACGTGAGGCATCTTAATTCAAATAGTAAGAAGAATATTGACGAGGATAATGAGGAAAATGGGAACAAAAATTGTTCCCAATCGAACAGCCCGGTTGAAGCTCGAGACACGATGGAGGAAACAGAGGATGGTGGAACTATTAAAACGAACGATCTTTTGGCTTCGGAAGTTGCCGGAAGCTGGGCCTGCAGCACGGCCCCCTCGGTTCATGGAGAGAACGAGTATACTCATTCACCCACACACGATTCGAGTAGCTTGGTGGCAGAGAGTCAACACATACCGTTGACCAAGTCGGGGGGTGATGCTGACCGGATGAGCCACGAGCGCCGGGCGTTGAGCGAGATGATTGGCATTGTTGCGCCTGATCTGAAGAAGCAGTTCAGCCTTGCTGTGGGTCCCGACGAGGGGGTGGCATCTGATTCGGAATCAAAGGGGTGTAATGATGATGATGGTGATGATGATGATGACGACGACGACGACGTGGACAATGAAGGTCGGGACTCGGGTTCTGATGATGATGAGACGAACGGTGGGAGAGTGAGGTCTGAGGATAGAATGGAGGAAGATGAGGATGATGATACTCAAGAAGATTCGATGGGGTGAAAATGTGGAAATTTTGGAAGTGGGGAATGAAGTGCTCGTGCGTGTATGTGAGTGATGTTTTTCTTTTTTGTACCTGAGTTGATGTTTTGTTTATTTATTTATTTTTTTTTTGTTTTTTTTT